TGACAATTGGAAAAAAAATATAGCTTAAAGGGGCTAATAATTTTGCCCTTAATAAAATGGCGTTTAAAAATTTAAAAACTGCATTATCCTAGCCAAATTAAAACAAATAATACTTTCTCCAGAAGAAAAAATATTATCAGACATACTGTGAAAATTGCCTTGCTCTGTTAATTATTTGGAAATTATCTAAACATAATACAATATACTAACTCAATATTTTACAATATTCTGGAAAGACTCATTTTTAGGTTTTTGAGGTTGACTGAACTGACTTGTAATACTCATAAATTGCTTTTAATACTCAATTGGATGAACTTAAACAAAGCAATGCCACCTCGTTGTACTACTACACAGTTTTTTTAAAAACACTCCATAATCACAGTTTAGCGGAAGTTACTCTCATAATTACCGCCAGAGTTGCCAATTTAGCAATTTTCTTGCTAGATTTAGCAACTTTTCATACTACCCAAGCAACTTTTTTATTTTTTAAAAAGCACCCATAGCAACAAATTTAGCAATATTTACCATTCATTTGGCTACTTTTGGCAATTTTTAAAAAGTGACTTTAAAGAGCAGTGGCTGCTGGCTTCGTTCAGCAGAGTAAATTGCTATTGTTTTTCATAACTGTTATTCATTCATTAATTTTTCAGCTTAGTCCTTTTGTTAATCTGGGGTCACTACAACTTATCCAGCATGTTTTCACGAAGCGAATGCCCTTTCAGCCACAGCCCATCTCAGGGAAACATACACACACACTCATTTACACTCATACACCACGGACAATTTAGCCTACCCAATTCACCTGTACCGCATATCTTTGAACTGCGAGGGAAACCGCAGGGAGAACATGCAAACTCCACACAGAAACACCAACTGACCCAGCCGAGACTCAGTGACCTTCTTGCTGTGAGGCGACAGCACAACTGCGCCACTGCGTCACCTTACATAACTGTTAATTTACTGATGCTTGTTAACATGTATAATTGTTAATTTAGGTAGAAATAAATTCCAATAGTGCTATAATTGTTGTCACTTTCACAAATGTGTTAATTGCACAAGTTAAAAAGAGTAAGTACACAAGCTGTGACTGTTTAAGAATGTAACTGTTCATTATCAGTGTTGTGTTTTAAAATCTAAATTCTAAAAGTGTTTGTATTGTACAAATAGTAAACTATATTTTTTATACAAATCTAAGCTAAATGGACATATGTTTTTGATGAGATAGCCAGTCAATTTGAGAAAACATGAATTATTTTGTATACATAAAGATGAAGTTTTGAGTTGTGATTACGCAATGATGTCATCACAGAAAGTTGTAGCCTATGTTAATAAGAACCTATTTATTGTGCATCTAGATCTAACGTTAATGTTTAATATAATATAATACACGGCGCCTCACCAAGAAAACACATGACAGGTACGTCACAGATATGCAAATTGGGATGTGACGTCATCGGGTAACATTTAACTACTTTTTGGCCAGGCTTTAGCTACTTTTTAATGGAAATAGTTGGCAACGCTGATTACCGCGAGGTATCATGGGCCATAGACAGCTGAATAAATCGGGGACATGAGCTCTTACTGCAAGCCCGACGGAAAAATAATAGTAAGTAGATCATCTTTTTTCTAATGAACTGCAAACATATAACGTGACAAGTCAGACTGATTACCATTTGTTTGAAAAAGAATGGCCAATAAACAAATCAGCTGTCTGGTAACGAGTGAATCACCGAATCAGTCACAACTGAATTTGACAGTGCGATTCATCGTTTCTTCAAATGACGTAACTCGCGTTTTGAATAATTAGTTGGACAGATCAATTAAGATTAACCATTAAGAAGTTAGAAAATATTGAATATACTGAAGCCTGATCTGTTTTCGGTGGTCCTTATGCAGGTGAATCAGCCGTGAAACAGGCCCAGTGCATTCATAAACTCAGAGCTGTTGCTTTGCCAGTCAGCTGTTGTTAATGGAAAGTGTCTGTTCTCGTCTCAGACTCCCTGGGAAATGAAACCAGCGCCGTGAAAAGATTTCAAACAATTTTTAAACGGTGCTTGATTTATGGCCAGTCTTACAAATATGTAAAAAGCATAACTTGCGCTCCATTTTTCAAATGAATCAATTGCTAATATTCTAAAACTCGTTACTCATTTCTGTTTGCCTTGATCCCGATGACCATATAATCCTCGTGGCCATTTTTTAAGATAGGGTTTTTTTTTGTTTTTTTTTTTGAAGACCTTGTCTGGGTTCTCGTTGCCCATAGGCCTACACTCACATTGTGCAGAAATGTGGTTTAGATTGATAGATAACGCGGGGACCTTACAATTTACTAAATATAGAGTTTCTATATTCTAAGCCTAACCTCTAAATCGGTGCAAATGTGATTATAGAGTAATATTAAATGAAGGCAGTCCACAATATATGGAACCACAATATATTGTATTTGGTGTTTTTGTGTGATTTCTAGGTCTGTATTAACAGACTCACACCACTAGAGTGTGTTGTTGTTAGCTGTGCATGAGAACAAGCCACTGCACAGTAGGAGAAAATAATGTCATCAGAAACATAACCAAATGCATTTTATTGTCATCATAATGTGTGAAAAGCGGTAGCAGAAAATATACCCTTACCAGCAAAACAATTAACCAACATAAGGATAAAAATGTATTGTCCATAATAATTTATGCTTTATTCCTGCTGCTTATTTATACATCAGTGAATTTAAGCCTTGCTTGCAATATTATATTATAGATTGGCTTTCTAAATAATTTATAATTAATTGATTTGATAAAATCTCAGGTCTGCGCTTGAGGGTGAACTCAATAAAAAATTATAACAATATTTGTTTTGTAAACACAAGGTATTGTTGTTCATTAGGCTTGTTTGTTTGCCTTTCTGTTACTCTCTTGGCAGTTTTCTTAATGAAAGCTTGAACGGCTTTCGCGCAGCTGTTAGAGAAGCCCATATGGCAAAGTCATGCTTTATATAAATCTATTCTTAGTACGAGTTGTTTTTAAATCCACTCAGTTTGCACATTATGTAGAAATTCAAGCAGTTAAAGGCTAAAATATACCCAATTACTAATGCATGTAAAGCATTGTTTACTTTTTAACATTTAAACTGGCTGATGCACGATATTTTCTTTACAGTGTGTCCAAGCCTGATATTACCATCTTTGATTTGCTATTATTTTATTTTATTTATTATTCTTATAATTTTTAGATATCATGATAATCACAAACAGTTGTATGACATTTGCTTGCATTGAAGCTATGTGTGAAGTGTTAACATTAAAGGATAACACTGTAATGTAAGGTTCCAGTGATAATGTTATCCTGGACAAAATCCCTGATTTACACAGAGACAGTCAGTGAAGAGCTGCACAGCTGCGTTTGGCATCTCACTTTTTCAAACACACACACACACACACACACACACACACACACACACACACACACACACACACACATGCACACAGAGTGAGAGAGATACTGTGCTGCCAATCTCTTTATTTCATGTCAGCCTAATTGCTTATTAATTCGCTTACTAAGTCTGGCACACTTTTTTCTTTGTCATATTTTCTTTAAAACTTTAACTTGCCTGTTTATTGCTTATATTTGCATGACAAACAATTGTTTTAATGGCAACAAAATTGCCAACCTAGAGCTACTCATGCAAGAGTACTCAGTGGTTCCCTCTGAATAGTACATTATGCAATGCACAGTGTCAAGTAAAGTCAAATACAGCCAGGTAGAATATTTGTAAACAAAGTGTGTAAAGTAATCAAACATTTCTGAAATACCGGTACACCGATAAATTCAACTCTAACCGCGCGATTGTATTTTATTTCTTTTCGGATCACGTGGTTTTTTTGGCAGTGACTCCCTGTGGATTTGTCCTTCAGGCTGAAATGATTTCAATTGAACCTGTTTAGGAACCCAGAGAGACTCAGATATGCACTCATTTCTTGTTGTTTTGTGTTTTTAACGTGTCTTTTGAAACGAATCTGTTCTGCCACCACAATAAGTAGAGAGCATAACTCAACACTTAAGTCAACAAAATGTGCGGTGTTATAGTTGCTAAATGTTTGTATCAGTGATGACAGAAATCCCACAGCCTTAATTAACTTTGTTTCTACATATTTGTGGAGGAGATAGTCACCTCTGTCTTTACAAACATAAACGTGAAAAGAGAATGGATGCGCTGCAATGGCAATGATAGAGGACTTGGCAATGCTTTTTTACTAATCATAATCACAAATTAATTAATTAATTAATTAATTGTTGAAAGTATAATTATTCCATCAACTATTTAGGCGAGTAAACATCTGTCAAGATACAAATGATGGGGTTGGTTGACCCTCTTGGACCTCCACCAGAAAGGCACGTTTTACAATATGATAAGGATTTAACTAGGCTACTTTTTTATTTAGGCTTAGAAAATATTATTTGTTACAGTTTAATATTATTGGCAATTATATTGTATGTTAGGCCTATTGTTTACCCTACAGTATGTCATATAATTTCAGAAATGCAAGCTAAACAAATAGCACACATCGTGCTTTCCACTCAAGACTTGTATAGTCTTTTATTTTTGAAATACTATTAGCAATTGTAGCCTGTTAGCTGCAATTATATCATGAAAAGTTTTCTTTTTTGGTCTTTTATTTAGAGCTCAACAGTTCGACAGCTGTTTGAAAGGGAGAGTAAATTAATTTATGCTAACAGATTCTCACACTTTTAGATATTCTGCCTAAAATGAACGCTTCATAAAGCTCACAATTTTTCGAATTAAGGGTATCATAGGCTTAGTGTTGGATTATCTTGACAGGTTTACAGGATGGTTTACAGTAGCACACACACAAAAACACAGAGAGAGAGAGAGAAAGAGAGAGAGAGAGAGAGAGAGAGAGAGAGAGAGAGAGAAAGAGAAAGAGAGAGAGAGAGAGTTTAATGTCGGGTGATGCCCTCCCCTTGCTAAATCTCCACTGAGATGGTGACGCTCCTTCAAAACTCCAATCTCACGGCGGCGGGTGCAGATAGCTTGAGTCATCTGAGGGGTCATAACTTTACCAATGCTTTCATAGCTGATCTGCAAATGAGCTTGATGCCTGCACTTGTCAGTAGGTGATCCTGTTATTTACATGTAATGCTAAAGAAAAAAGAAGAACAATAAAACACTCAATGTTTTTACACAGGGAACTGTGAATCTCGTGTACAGCTTCTTTGTATGTGCGCACCGCTGGTGCCAGACGCGCGTTTCCAGCCTGCGCTGGTGATGCGATGCCCCGCAACCACAGCGGCGATGAGGGCGGTGCTGGTCTCTGGATGAAGACCTCGCAGCACTATGGCATGAAAGATGTTGAAGCCGGTCGCGGGACGATGAACAACGCGACCAGGAATGCCGACAGTCTACTGTCGGCGCCGGGTACAACAGGTGCAGGAGGCTCCGAGAACCAGAGGAGAAATCAGGGCGCCCGTCTAAGCCTGCTGGGGAAGCCGCTCGCATACAGCGCGCAGAGCGGCCGGAGAAACGCGCGCTACAGGAAGCTCCAGAACTACCTCTACAATGTCCTGGAGCGACCGCGAGCCTGGGCATTCGTTTACCATGCCTTTGTGTAAGTAAAAATGTCTTTACTCTTTTATTCATGACGCCATGGATAATCACAGCTGGAGTTCACCTGTTACTTAAAGTTATTCTATACACTGTCAATGGCATCCATACACTTTGCTTGTCTTAATTGTGTTTAAAATGCTTAGATTAATATTATTTTTTAAGATCTTTTGATTTATGGAGGAGGTAAAGGGAGTTTGAGCACTGTAATCTAAATGTTGTTAGTCACATGTCAGTCTTGTTGTTATGAAATTTTATAGTTCAATAGAATTTACGAGTTGGGTTGTATAAATGCTGATGCATTTTGATTCTTTTCAGTAACTCATGTTTGATGCCATATTATTTAAAACCTTAAATGTTGTCAAACAATGCATTTTTTAGACAGTAAAATATATCTGATCGCTGATTTACCATCAAGCAGTGGCCTTTAGTAAACTTGGCCGTTTGTCATTTTAACACACCAGTGAGATCTCAGAGGGATTGCATTATGGTGTGTATTTGCTATTAATGTTCATGGAAAATTTATGATTATGGCTTTTCTGAGATTTTCTGTAAGCTCGGTGAAGAGATGCTCTCTACATGACCCCAATATAAAGGAAATGCTTGTGTCCCATATGAGGTTTATGCTCAGAGACTATGAGGAGCATTTGTGTGAGGAGGAAGCCGAGCTGTTGCATGGTGAGACTGGAGTGCTCCTCTGTGTTTCAAGACAGGATGTTGTTGTTTTATTTGTGCTGAGAGGACAGCTGAGGTCACAGGGGTTAAGTTGTTACATCTGCAACAACGCATTGTCCCACACTAGTTAGAAACATCACAGAATCAGCACATTTGGACTTACTATCATGTTTAAATATGCTTTCAGTATGAAAAGAAAAAATCAAGTGAGGAAGGAAGCAGCTAACCACATTGCTACTGGGTTCTTATCGGTAATTAGTTCACAACAACGTTTAAGAACGTTTGTTAAGCTTTTGTCCTGTAACATGTCACATATAGAATAAAAAAATATTCATTGGACTTACCTTTTTTTGAAGTTACTTGGTTGCAAACAATTTAACTGGGCTAAATTTTGGCCTGAACATACAAATTAATTTTAACATTACTAAATTTCATTTGTTTGTTTACATTAAACATATATAAATTGTTTGCAAACCACTTACCTTAAAAAATTGTAAATCCAATGAATTTTTTTGTGTGTTTGTAATCTTGATGGATATTGAAGTCAAACTCAGATTGTGTGCTTGTGAGCCTAAACAAAATAAGTTCTGTTAAAAGTTTTTTGGTTTCTGGTAAAAAAAAAGAAAGAAAAGTATTTGTCTTGAGAAAAAAAAAAAGTTAATGAAGAGATCTTAATCCTTCGAGACTTTTGGTTTTAAAAGGCTGTGAGAAAGAAGACACTGAGGTTTGTTTGAAGTCATTGCACAATCAATCATATGCCCTATCAGCACTGTGCCCTTAAGCAAACCGTATGCTGCTTCTGCTGTTTCCGTCATGTTCTCTCATCCTTCATAATGAATAGAGTCTACTAAATAGTGCATTACTAAGCAATACTCATGTTGTCTCTTATGGCAGTGTTCTTGGAGATCAGATGTAGGCTACAGAAGTAACATACAGTATATCCTATATGAATATGTGCTTGATTTATTTGATTGGTAATTTTGAAGTCAGTATTTAGGGTTGATCTTAGCTGAAGTTGGAAATATGTGCAGAGAGATCATTAACATCATGCCTGCTGTTCCATAAGAGGGTGATATTCTCTAATATACCCGCATAAATGTAAGGGAATTAGAAATTAAAGGGATAGTTTGCCTATATAAAAATGTGCTGTTAATTTACCCTAACTTTATTGTTTTCTTTTTTAACCTCAATCTGTAGATCTTGTTGATTCAAATGCAAGTCTATGGCTAAAAGAAAACAAATACAGGCCAAACTAAATTAAATCAAGTGGCTACTTAGTAAATTTTTAAGTCTTATGAAATAAAATTATCTGTAAAACAAACAACAGAAAAAACAGCATTATGTAGAACATCATTAACATTAATCCACAGCCTCATCAAACTGTCCTGAGTGTTCCTGTCATACAGGTATTTGTTTAGTTTTTCTTGTATATCTCTTTGAGTCTCAAAGTGCTGGCAGTCATTGACTTGCATTTAATGAATCACCAAGGATTAAAGTTAGAAAGTGTCAAAGTACATTTAGAAAAAAATGACCTACATCTACTGGAAGTCCTATTAATGTATGACAGCAGATTTTATTTTTAGGCAAGCAATCTCTTTGAAAACCTAATTGTTCTTAAAAATGTCTAGCTATAAAAACATTGAAGACTACAGTAAGCTTTTTAATAAAATTAGTGATAAAACAATGAAATTGATAAACTGTCAGAGCATATGATGTTTTCATCACTTTACAACTTTACAAATGTTTTTGATTTATATATATATATATATATATATATATATATATATATATATAATATATATGTATGAAGAGTTCAGATGCTAAAACGTTTAAATGTCGTCTGAAGTTTTCTTCTAAAATAAGCCTTTTAATCAAGCTTATGTGTGTAGGTTCACTAATATAATTTTTATGGCAAAGAATAAGTAATTTTTATTGTTTTTAAAGTGAAATAACTGAACATAAACAAAGGAGGCTAAGAAAAATGTTAATTTTCGATAGAAGATGGCATTTAGAGGTTTTTGCATCTAAACTCTTCATAGATAGAATGTAATATAGTATGATTTACACATTTTTACTCCAAATAGAAAAAAATACAAAATGAAAAATTTCAAACAATTTTACCACAAATTTCAAACAACTTAGTTGATCAAAAGTGCTTTTCAGGCAGAGGTTCAGCAGCCTTTGACTACATTTGTTCTTTTTAAAAGGGAAATACTTATACATTATACTAATATGTAGCTTAAATTTACATTAGACAAATACTGTTTTTTATTTATTCATTTATTTATTGTTCTGTCATTTATTTATTTGAGTGTAAAACTATTACTTGTTTAAATGCCAAAAACTTTTTTTTACATATTTTTAAGTCCAAAGAGAAATAGACTATTGTTTTTTTTTTCATGTATTTTTTCTAAACTAGTGCACTCTCAGAAATAAAGGTATGCAAGCTGTCACTGGGTTGGTACCTTTTTGACAAAAAAAAGGTACAAATTTGTGCCTAAAAGGTCTATATTAATACCTCAAGGGAACATATTAGTAACTAAAAAGAAAAAAGTGTTCCTCTTAAAATTGTTCGGTTCTAATATATCCTTGAGGTATTAATATGGACCCTTTAGGTACAAATGTTACCTTTCGAAAAGGTACCACCCCAGTGACAGCTCACGTACCTTTATTTCTGAGAGTGTAGTGTTTTGAAATTATTCAATGATAATAATCGTGATGACCGGGATTATTCCTCTGATCATATAACCAAAACCTATAATTGTTGCATCCCTAACTGCCCACCAACTAGCGTCTACTGTATTTCAGATATGAGACTATAATGCACTAACCCTTTGTTAAGATGACTTTTTGTTCAATAGGCTCTTTAAATGGAAAGGATTTTCAATGGCCATATCAATATCTCATAGTTGTCTGCTCACCCAGCAAATGTTTTTACAGCGCATCAAAGCAAGCTCATTTGTCTCTTTGTGATGAGCAGATGAGATTACAGAACTGCAGCTGAGCACATTTCACCAAGGTTAAAGCTCCGCACCACCCAAGAACCACATCTCAGTATCAACCTCAACAAAATCCCTCATCGCATCGTGTAACCCCGATAATCATATTTGACACTTAGATAATGTAATGAGGGAATTTTCATACCTTAAGCAAATCTCCATGTGTCCATATGCAGAAGTAGATGCAGTTTCACCAATACAAAAAGCACATTATGCTTCTGTCATGAACACTTACATCAGTATGGCTGCATTCAGTTTATTTTAGCCTCCCAAAAGTCACATACATTCTTTAAGAATGAAAAAGGAAATTGCACAGTAGGTGAACACTGCCATAATCAGCTAAATTGGTACGTCATGCCATACTTTGATTCAAGCCCTCTTTATACGACTGGGAATTCATCTGGTTTGAGGTATAGAAGTTCATTGAGTTCTCATTCACATTTCCTAATTGTTCCATTTCATGGTTAAGAAAACTGGATATTCTACTCAGATTGACTTAATGCTGAGTTATTGAGGGTGATTTGTACCACACGCTGCGCTGATGGCTTTCATGTCATAGCAAAACATTTCAACAAAAGATCCCACCTGTTATGGTCATCTACTTTCACAGAGAGGCTCTTGTTCTCAGATACTTTGTCACCACCAACCTGGTTAGACAGGCAAAATGCAATACATAGGAGCCAGCCAACCAACATTAGAAATTTTTCAACTTTGACTTAAGATGCCAGTTTAATTTTAATCTTATTTCAGGGGATTAAGAATGTTTCAGTCTTTGGTTTAGCTTGTTTTTACAGTAGTGTAAATTTACCAAATCCATATTGGCATTATATTTTTGACCACTAATTACATTCATTGGAATACTCATTTGTGTTATGCAAGACTTAGTTTGGATACTATTTGATCAGGTAATATTTGCATTTACAATGTTGCAAATATTTCCTTGTGTTGGGTGTTGGCTGCTGGAAGGGCATCCGCTGCGTAAAACATGTGCTGGATAAGTTGGCGGTTCATTCTGCTGTGGCCATCCCTAATTAATAAAGTGATTAAGATAAAAAGAAAGTAAATGGTTGAATGTTGCAAATATAGAATACGAAACACGTTTTTACATGACTCATAAAAAAGCTTTTTCATTTATATATTGACATTATCATGCTTACATGCAGCGACGCGCTGACGCAGTAGGTAGTGGTGGCGCCTCAAAGCAAGAAGGTCGCTGGATCGAGCCTCGGCTCAGTTGACGTTTCTGTGTGGAGTTCGCATGTTGTCCCTGCGTTCATGTGGGTTTCCTCCTGCATGGTGCTCCGGTTTCCCCCACAGTCTAAAGCATGCG